TCATCTTACGCCTTTTAATGAAGATGGGAACACTGACAGGGAATAATATAATAGCCAATGCTCGGCGAGAGGTTTTCATTTATAAAATTTTGTTGTTTGTTCTCAACGTGATTTTTATTTTATTGCCTCGTCTCCATAGTTACTATTTGCAAATAGTCAATAATATTGTAGGTCCACTTTATTGTTGTTCTTTCTACGCGCCGTTATAACACATTTTCATCTCGTCATTTAATTTCTGTTGTGCATATATTGTTGTATAGAAGATATTTTAAAGCGATTTGTCAGGAGGAAAACGAATAGATAAATAGATAGATAAACCGATATGTGGCGCCATCTAGTGTACCTAAATTTATATAGAAATTTTCATAAAAGTGACTCGAAAAACGGGGCTAACTCGGTAACCCGTGGCCCGATTTTAACGAAACTTGTTTTATTCTGTTACTATTCTCATTTCATTATAAATAAGGTGGTATTGTGCGCCATTTTTGCTGTATTTAATTACAGACAAGCACACACACAAACAATCTCACAGTATAGTAGTATATAGATTATAGGCATGATTTTCAATTTCTTTAAGCAATTTCAAAAGCAACATGACATAAAAATGTTCACTTATTTTTTGAAATAAACCTAAAAAATCTCCTAAACTTTTTCTGTGTGATATAGTTTAAATGCATTTTAACAGTCTTCTCAGCAAAAAGCTCCTTTTGATTTAACCCTTTGTTTCCCTTATGGGCATAATTGGTACACCTTCTATTTCTATTCCAAAGGGTCATATGAGCATCTTTCGATATTTTTTTTAACATTGAATCCAACGATATGTGGTTTGTAGGTTCTTTCTTCAATAAAATGTATATTAAATAAATCAAACATAAAAGTTTTGATATTTCTCAATTTTTTCTCTAGATCCTGGGAACACGAAATAACTAGTTGCTAAAGGGTTAAGTAACATACTATTTGTCATGATTGATTTAATTTTTAAAGAAATTGAAAGTTCGGTCACATACAAATGAACTGAGGTATTTTTTCAAAAGATTCTTCTTTCTGTATTTGTTGTTGAATTTCGCGCAAAGCTACTCGAAGCTACCCATCCCTAATGCCCCTCGTGGCACAGCGGTATGTCTGTAGACTTACAACGCAAGAAACCGGGTTTCGATACCCGTGGTGGGCAAAGCACAGATAGCCCATTGTTTAGCTCTTTGCTTAACTTCAGACAAACAAAAACATCAAATACCGTGATAGACTGGAGGGGATGGTGATCAACACTATCCATGGCTAATTCTTGGATTACTCTTTACCAAAGGATAGTGGGATTGACCGTCCCCATGGCTGAACGGGCAAGCATATTCGGTGATAGGATTCAAACTCGCGACCCGCAGGTAGCGAGTCGAACACCTTAACCACCAGGCAATACTAGGCCAAAAATACTTTTATCTCAGCTTTAATTCCTAATTCGTAGCCCCCCCCCCCCAATAAAAAAAATCACACATTGTACTTTGGGGCCGTAGGTGCGTTATAGATGTTATTCGATTAGAATATCCCACGAATTGGCGGTGGGTGGTGTTAGCTAGCAGCCTTCCCTTTTGTCTATCACTTCAAAAATAAGAACGGCTAGCGCAGATAGCCCTCAACATAACATACAAACAGTAATTCCTTGGGTTTTCTGACGTACATTACTATTTTATGGTATATTAACAACTGAAACCTTACGATATTGTTAACAAAATACGAATGTCGCTAAACTTTATGGGTCATTTGTTTACATATAAGAAAGGGAAATAAGCAGGCGCAGGTGGCCATTATTAATCTCATTAAAGAACAAAACGAGCGATGAGAGTTTTCGTAGTTGCTAATCTTGGGATTTTACACGTTTCCTGTTTAAGTTTTAAAAATTAGGCTCTGGAAAAAGACTGACGATGGTGCACAATGAATAATACTAATTCGAATGATGGCAATGATTTATACCACTACGTTTCGCGTATTCAAAAGTATCTAAAACTTTGAATTTTCTTATATAACATCTAAAATTAACCCTTGACAACAGATGAAACTTCATAATGCTATATCTCGAAAGTGATATCACTAGCCAAACATTGTGAATTTAGGACTACTTTCTTAAGCCGCAGTCCACTCTCTAGCCTAGAGACTTTCTGGTCGCATCTCTTGTTACAACGCTCTGCAAGTTTCTTAGAACGCTTCGCAAATCGTCCTACAAGTTCTGAAAAAGAAATTTGATTATATTTAAATTTGTCTTTGAGATTTTTTCAGCACGTAACTTATAATTTTGAAACAAATCTCTCAGTTTTCTACCATTAAATCAATCAAATCAATCTCCTCACCTCATGGGTGTGTCTATTCAATGTCAATGTACACAAAACCGTCTTGTTTTGCATTTTAAAAACTGCACTGTAACCACTTTTTTGACACAACTAAGTATAATATTTTCAACTGTGAAAAAACAATCAATAATATCATAAAACTTGACAGTACACCTTCAGAAAAGGAAAAAAAAATACTATAAATGGGTTAAAATTTATCAGTGTTGAGGCTGATTTACGTATTTGTTATTTACAAGTTCATTACATAATGACACATTTTTAACTTCTGTCATACTTTTATAACGAAGTTAGATAATTGAGGATATTTTTGTGCACAACAGTTATTTTTTATGTCCCGATTATTCCAATGTAGACAATGTTGTATTTTTATAGCACATGACATGCCAGACTCAAGCCAGAGATTGAGAAAGTTATAACCGACTAGTAAGTAACAGTTCTTTATGTACCTTATAAGAAAACAAATTTAGCAAGAGGCCATTTCATTTTAAGCCAATTTTTAGAAGATAAACTCTGAAACTAAAAATTAATATGTGCACACACATAAAAATCTTGTTATTTGCTGAATTATTTTAAATCAGTATAAACATAATGCTTACTTGATTTAGTAGAACCCATTAGTTTAAATTTAAAAGTGTTTCGAACATCCGAAAAGTCCGATTTTGACAAGTGTTGCTCGGAAAAGTCGCCCATTGTACCTAGAAAATAATGAATATATATGTTTAATCAAACACGGATAAGATAGACACCAAAACATATGTTAATGCATGCTACAGTAATTATAATACTTAAATTATTTTCATTATTAAACTGAATGACTTCTGAAGTGACTACCGCATTCTTCTGGCAAGTCATTCAATCAACATATACAACGTAGCTTTTGATAAACGGATAAGATATTAAAATACAAGATATCAAACATTGTAACCCCTTCTGTGATTTGCCCGAGAAAACTTGGGAGCCCTCGGGGCTTCAAAAAAAAAGTTATTTATTCCATTTTATCACGTGTTACAACAGTTTGTTTTGAAGCTAAGCACAAAGCTACACAATGGGCTATCTGTGCTCTGCCCACCACGGGTATCGAAACCCGGTTTCTAGCATTGTAAGTCCGCAGACATGCCGCTGTGCTACTGGGGGTGGGGGCTTATTACAACAGACTATCAAAATGCGAAATATGTACAGCCTTTTTGTAGCTCATTTCCAAAAATTCTGATATGTTTGTTTGATTTTAATTATGCACAAAGCTACACAAGGGCCATCTGTGCTCTGCCCACCACGGGTATCGAAACCCGGTTTCTAGCGTTGTAAGTCCGCAGACATACTGGGGGGCCCCTGATATGAGAGAGGTTAATGTATTGACCATAAAGCTGAACCGTTTAGCTGCTTTGTGCCACAAGACTTATAGCATGATACCTGTTTGTATGTATAGTTTCTGGCGTAGAATCTACGGCACATATTAACCTTCTTTCCCTATGTACCTACACAGATGTATTTGCTTTGGTTAGACATATAATAGACTCCAAGGAAATTTCCAAGTTTTCTAGTGTTTATATCTTCTGTAGATCGTTCTGTGTCTACTACATATCTTCAGTAGGATAACGCGTTTTCACAAAACTTTTGGAATAAATCT